TCACATCCTGAAAAGTCAAGAAGACAATATTGCAGTACTGTGTACCAAGAACTTGGAAGAGCTCAGTGTGAGAATGGGAGGGTGCTGATCACACTCCAATCCATGCTCTCACAAAGCACCCAGACACAGGTAACCAAAAGTCTGTTCAGCATTGATAATGGAGATATGATCCTTGCAATGACATGGTGAACAGGACATGCCTCATCCTCCTTTCTTTTTAGGCTGGCAAACATGTGCTGCTGCTGGATGTGCATTTCTGTTGTCTTAGACAACAGCAAACAATCTATTCTTCCCACCCACTTCTGTGAGTCATAGGCTTTACTCATTGACCTGTCTCCTGGAGTGGGTGTCCTTGGAAGGTCAGGTAGATGTGTGCTGTTATCTCAATGACCTCATCTGGGTGCCACTCTCAGGGTCCTTCTTTCATGGTCTTCTTTGCAAGAACTTTGATGCTTCTACACCCATTAAATCCCGTTCTCACCAAGGTGCCCACTACAATTCTCAGCAAAAGTAGAGACAGGTCTGAAGGGCCTTGTCCATTTGAGCATTATGAACTCTCCCGGTGCTGGAGGGTTCCCAAAGTCCCAGGCAGTGAGACTTAGTGAAGAATGTAGTTTTATTTCAACCACCCATGAACTGCACTATCAAATAAAGACAAAATATGTACCTATATGTGCATATATGTATATACATATATATATATATTTATACGTATATATTTTAACAAGAACATTCACATTTCCAGGTATTTTTCTTTATAATATATTATGTCTTTGATTATTCTGATTTTCAAAAGCAGGTCTAACACACAGTGCATTTTCCAGCAAGTGTTACAAAGGAGGGAGTGTACTGTTTTACACACTATGCTTCCATACTTATAAATCCATTACTATATATTCAGGAAAATGCATAGATAAAAGCTAAAATTGCAATTTTCACATTGAAAATTAGCACTAGTATCTCTTCATAAAAGAAACCACATCAGACAGAACATTGTTGCTAGTGACTGTTGTTCAACTGGAATAAAGCACTTCATTTCTGAAAATGCAAAAAAAAAAAGTGGAGGTCCAAGGCCAGATTGGATGGGGCTTTGAACAACCTAGTCTTGTGAACAATGTCCCTGACCTTGGCAGGAGGGTTGGAACTAGATGATCTCTGAAGTCCCCTCCAATCCAAACCATTCTATGATTCCGTGAAAAGTAGCTCAATATATTTCTTTAAACATTAAATTAATAGATGAATGCTTTAATCTACATATATACAATATGCAAAACATTGTACATATACAAGATGTATGTGTACGATAATGTTTAGCTGGATAATTTTATGTGATATTTGAAGAAAGTAATTCAGTCATAGCTGTCCTCTACTTGAAAAGAGTGACACACACATACAAACAGAGACATTCTCTGCCTTTAAGCACACTTAAATACAAGATGTCACTATTGAAAAGTTGATACAAGACTGAAGAAAAAGATTTAACAGAATTATCAGGGAGTTACCTAAATAAAAGAGAAGCTTCGTTTAAACAGTTTAAAGCTGGGGCACAATGGCATTATCACAAAGCTGAGTATTAATTATTATGTTTGCTCTTTCCGACCTGTCACAATGATGAACAATAATGATAGCACAACGTGAGATATTCACCATTTAGCTAATTCACACAGTCTAGGCAGGGGATCAAATATGTTTCTATACTGTCTATTCCTTAACAACGACCCTTTTTGGTTCCAGTGTGACTAAAAGAAACCCAAAAATTGGTGTGACCTGTGCATCTCTTTCTTGTCATATCCCAGAGCCTAAAAGCCAGCTGCAGGAACACAACAACTAAACTTCAGTCTTTCCAGTGCAGCTGGCATTCTGGAGAGGCAGAGCAGAGATCTAGGACTCAGTTCCCTTTCTCTCAGACTTGCAGCAGACAGAAAAATCAGAGGAAAAAAAATAAACCAAGTTTCATGGACATCTGGAGCTGTATGCAGGATGTGAGCTTTGTCAGGTGTCCTTCCTGGAACCAGTGGGTTGAGCAGAACAGACCCCCAATATTTTCCCATTTCCTATCAACACAACTTCCTGTGGTTTCCCCATTATCACTTTGCTCATCAGTGAATGTATGATGCTTGCTGTTTGCTCCCTAGCACACTGCATTTCTTTTTGCAAATGGGTGAATAACCATTCACATATCTTGACTAGAGTCTTTCTTTTGCTAGAGATATGCAACTGGATTTGTGTGAGGCAGCTGCTCAGTATTTGTGTGCCAGTCTGAGTGGTCCAGTATGTCATGGTGGACAGATGATGTCAGTTCTGGAGCTGGCAGCACAGGAACTGGGCCACTTCTTAGTGCTATGAATGCTGATGAAATTGCCTTCCCAAGATTTGTTTCTTCTTTCAGAACAATATGATCTTGCAATATATGGGTTCAGTTTGATTTTTTTTTCCTACAAGCCTTTCAGGCTTTGCCCATTGTCTGAGCGCTCTGTACACCTTCAGTGTATTCTCTAGAAAATTTGATACAAGCATTGCAGTGTGTCTGGTAGGGCAAAATTAGGTATTTTAACAGGAATACTGCCAGAGCAGAAATTTCTTCTCATACACATGCCAGTGCAGAAATCCCATTTGTTATTAATATTTGTTCCTGAAAGACCCTTATTGTCCATCTTTTCCACCATAAAAAAGCACCAGCCAAAACAAACAAAAACCCCGCAAAACACATTAAACAACTCCAATCCATTGTGACTCAAAACTGGTGCCAAATGCTATTATCTCCTTCTTTGGAATTTTCTGACATACCCTACTTGTTGCACTGTCATCTTTTTAGGCACTATATTTTGCACAGCAAAATCCGTGTTACTGTGTCTTGTTCACAAAGGTTGTTGCTAATATTTTAACAGCAAATAATGAATCTAATCCATCAGCTATGTGCATTGCTATAACACACGCATACGCATTTGAATTTTAAATTTTATGAATATACAAACATAAAAGCAAGTGTTCATTGAAGTTGACCGCTATCAACCCTCTGAACATTCCCAGACAAAAGCAACTCTTCAAACATGATCAAAGGAGCTCTGGGCCAGCAGTAATGGAGTGATATGAGCCTTACTTTTCAATACAGACAGCCATGTGCTGATCATTGTATATTTTTTATTTCCCAGTATTTACTATTTCTCATAGCTTTATTTCATGCCTCTTTTTGCTCTTTATCTGCGCTTTGGTTGACACAGCTAACTCATGAGCAGCAAAATAAAACACACAGGGTAACTCTTTGAAACAAAAAACCTCTTTAAAAAGAGATCTTAACTCTTTTAAAAAAAGAGTTATTTAACTCTTTTTTAAAAAAAAAGTCTGTTTCAATGAGGCTGGCTTTTTTGCACACTGACAGACAAGACTGTAAGCGAAATAAAAGAGGGGAAAAGCTAAGCACAAAGATATAACGCTGCTAATGAAAGAAGTGCAGAGTGATACAGTAAAAAGGAGGAGGCATCAAATATGCAGAAGAATTGTTTATTACAAGTTACTATTTTACAGTCAGTGGATAGATAATTCTGGTTTGGACACCTGCATAGAATTATGTCCACAGCTGCACTTTACTGATCATACTGTGTGAAATTGTTTCTCTTCCTTAAGCAAAAGGCAAACAAAAGGTTACAGGGATGAATGTGTTTGTAAAGTAATCTGCATCACTGAATGCAGAAAATTTCCACACCTGTATCCATGATGTCAATTTATACCCTTGAACTGTCTGGCAAATATAAATATACATGTCCATATATATGCATAATTTAAAATGCTCTAGCTGTCTTGAGAAGGTACCATGTATAAATGCGTGTGCACGCACGTGTGTGTGTTCTAGAACTAGAGAAAAGCTGTTACCTTCTCAAGATACCTACAGAATTTCAAATACACACACATACACTATATGAGCTATTTGTATAAATGACAAACAGTGAGTGAAGCATCCTGTTAATGTTATTAAAACTGAAATTAATTATAAGACTGGTACCACTGACATTTCTCTTCATGAATAATTTTACTTTACTGAAACAGAAAATAGGCAGGCCACTTAATTTTTAAAAGGGCATAAAGTTCAGAAGCCTGTTCAATCTATTCATAGCCATATATGAATATAAAAACTGCACTTAAAAGAGCCACCCCAGAAAGTTTCTTTCTATGTGTGGGTTTTTTTTGCCAGTCCTCCCTCCTCTCAGTCCCTAAGTCAATGAGAATTCGTATTTTAATAAATCTGTGTCAATATGCATTACTGAAGCCTTACATTTACACTGATGAACACACAGAACTGTCCTAACAGTTTAAAAACCATACTTCAGCATGAAGCAGATGTGTTGGCCATGTTACAATAAATTCATAAAAAGAATCTTCTTAAATGCTGCCATTAGCACAGCACACTACTTTGGAACAAACTGTCTTGGGAGGTATACCAGGGGAAGGAAGGGAGATACCACTGCACTCAGTGGTGCTTCTTCATTCCAGGCTTATAAAATGCTTTCAACTTGCATGTCAGCTGGCATGGTTGGACAAAGCAGTCATGTAAGAAAGTTTCATTAATCCTTAAGAAACAAATGACACAAAATCTCCTGGAAACTTAGTTCACTTGGGATTTTTGTGGGATTTATCAATATGCAATATTATTGCTTCACCTTTACATCACCTGCACACAGTTTGTTTTCAGTTCTGACTTGCTCTTTCCAAGACTTTTAAGAGCTGTTTCTCGATTTCCCCATGGGAAAAAAAAAAAACAAAAACAAAACCAAAAAAAAACCACCAAACAAACAAACAAAAAAAAGCATCCTTCAGATCTCTACCAGAGCACATGTACAATCTCTGTTTGCTTCAGTTCCACTGATAGTAGATGTATACTTAAGTGTGATCCTATATTCTTAAGAAGATACTTTATTTTCTAGGATATGATTTTGCTAAATACAACAATTAAAACAGAAGTGTAGTGCTTCAGAAAGCATTTTGGTGAGCTTCCAGGGACTTACCTGCCAGCTGCCAAGCTGGCTTAGAGCTCTAGGCTCAATCTATTCACCCATCCATCACCAAAGGGTCTGAATGACTGATAACAAAAACAGATGATTCATCGTTGGTATGCTTTCTGTACTCTCTTTGTCCTATGGAAAACATGGCATTTTAAGATTAAGGTTGATATTTCAGGCTAAGAAAAACTTACAATATAAAGCGGGCAGTTTTTATATTACTGGATAGATACTTGTTCCTAATTTTTAGAATGCAGAGAGGGCCAGAAATTAAATTTTTCATTGTTAGCTGACCTTTAAATGAGCAGGTACACATGCCTATCATCTTGAGTGTAAATACTGTCAGAAGATGATCTCCCTGTTTGGTCTTTTTAGATAGATCTGACTAGTAAGATAACATTTCATTTCCATTTACTTAACAACTGTTATTCAAGGTGTTGACTTTGAATTTAATAGCACAAGCATTGGGGACTTATCTCAGAGGCCTATTAGAAGGAAAAGACAACTTTAGGTCTGCCATGGTGATGGCAGAGAAGAAAGGAAAAATACATTAGAATGTTGAAAAGCACAGAGAGCACTTCCACCTAACAACTTTGCTCAAGTGATACAAATAAAATGAGGAATGAACACAGAAAAAGCTCTTCTATTTAACACTTAAGTACTTGCTGGCTGCAATGTTTTAATGCATCAGATTACTGTAGAAAAAGGTTTGGCTATTCAGGTAAGCTGGATAGCTAATTCACACTGTGAATACAGAATCATAGATTGGAACAGTTTTGTTTGGAATGTACCTTTAAAGGTCTTGTCCAACCCCCCTGTAATGAGCAGAGACATAGAGAAGTCGCAGAGATAAATGATCTGAGTGTGAGATCTCTGCAACATGAATTTAGCAACATGGGAGGGAAACACAGCTGAGATACCATTACCTTTTGGGCTGTGGTGAGAGTCAAACTAAGGTATTTTGCACAGTCACAATGTTCACAATCTTTATAGGATTATGACCAGTTTGGACAGTTTCTCACAGGAACAGTGAGACAGTCACAAAAAAAAATATTCAGGAGCTGAATAAATCTCCTTCAAGGGAAAGCTTAAAAGAGCTCAATCTGTTTAGTTTGTCAGAGAATGAGAGGCAACTTGATTACAGGAATAAGCATCAGCTACAAAACTGCTCTTTGATTCAGTGGACACAGTAAAATATCTGTAATATACTGAAAGCAAATCCAAGTACTAGAGCATTAGAAAACATTAGCATTCCACAGAATATATATATTACAATACAGTTTTAGTCATACAATAACTCATCGTTTTCTTCCACAGGAAGCTTCACTGAGTTTACAGTATAGTCAGCAGTTATTTAGTGAATTTTTTGGTTTATTCTCATTGCATAATTTGTGGCCCTGCAATTCACTCATTGTACCATTTGAACCTAGCACCAAACACAGCACTGTTTATTTTTTTAACTTTCATTTAGCTGTCACTTTAACAGCATAGAAGTGTAATTCAGTGAACTGAAAGGTACAGGAAGATAAAAGCCCTCATTACACACACGTTATACAACACTCCACCTGGTGATTCAAACACTACTCAAAATTTCTGCCTAAGATATTTATAAAATTCTAGCTAAATAAACGAAATACTTTCAATTTTGGTAGAAGCACTGGTAAGCCTTTTAAAGCTTTTTTTGAGAGTTACTTGTTTAAAGTGTAGAAAGCCAGTATCAGCTTGAGTTTTGAGCATGTTGGTTTTTAAGAGAATACTTCTGTGGAAATACTCCAGGTCTCCCCATCATGTATAGAGAGGCAAATGGTATCTGCAGGTTCTTGGTAAACACCTGCAGTGTAGCTCCTCAGCGGGCAAGCCATGCTTTCACATAAAGCTATTCCACAGCAGAAGCTTCAAGGTCAGATGCTTTTTCAAGCAGAGTCTGATCAGGTCACTGCTTGTGAGTCACCAAGGGGGGAATATTTTCTTTCTGTTCACAGGAGAACATCTCCTGCCTGAGTACAGACTGGCTATCCATCTGAAATGGGAGTTTTCTTTCTTTGCCATGCACTGCCTGCCAAGATCAGTTCCCCTGCCTGGAACAGCACCTGCCCTGAAACTATTATGGAAAGGTTTGGGTTTCCTGACCAACACCTTCTGCCATGGATATTGCCAACACAGCCTTGAAGGCTTACAAAAGGGGGCCTAAAAGAAGCCTTCGGCCCTGAGCTGGGCCATCCACTGGGAGGAACTGATGCACACAGTCTAACACCAGATTTTCCTGTCCCAGTGCAAGTCATGTCTCAACCTGACTCCTCATACCAGTCCCAGGTAACTCTCCCACCATGCCCATTGTCTGCAGGGCTAAGTCTGCACCATGGGCTGCACATCAGCCCTCACCTTCTCCCCCACTACAGCCCCATACACCGTCAGGTTTCCTTATAGTTATTCTCAAAACCAGATTGTCACACTGCTTTCTTTTCTACAAGGGCATCTTTCTGCAAATAATGTGGGTAATTCCAAGTTGAAGTAGAAATGCTGAGAGGTAAGACAGTCTGCCCCTATTCCTTTCTCCAATTTCTGAACTACCAGCAGTGGTATAAATGTTACTTTCAAAATGCAATATATATCTACAAAAGGCTTCTGAATCTGAGTCTTTCAGAGAACGACAGCTTTGTATCACTGGCTAAATTTCTTGGAAATGGCAAGAGAGATCAGACAGAACCTAATGGCTTTGAAGTCTCTGCTCAATGCTTTAGAGATGCTGGAACATCTCATCTTTTCATGCTATCTGGACTAAACTTAAAGTGCTGCTGAGTTATTTCAACTTCTACTGAAGTGTCCACTCATTGGAAAAGATAAAATGGGAAAAGGAAAGGTGTGTTGAATTATGGCATTTATTATGCCTCAAATGCAGTGCTGCATCATCTCTGCAGGAAAAAATACTCTGAATGAAACACACAGGATTTGGTTTTAAAAAGTGTAGAGCTGTAGTAGGTTAAAAGCTGTACATCTTGTACTTCTTGATTTGCCTTTGCAAGTGAATTTTAAACCTAAGGTACATTTTGGAGAAGTCTGAGCTCTTTGCAGCTTATCACAGTACTTTCACACTTGCAGATGTTTTGTTTTTACTAGAAAGTCACAATTATCTTATCTTACAGTGTGATACATAAGGTACACATCTGGTCATACTATATTACTGTCAGAACAGTAGTTTATATTGGACAGGCACTGCTTCAGCACACAATTTGTGCAAAGGTCACAAGAGAATTTCCTGAGCTTTGCTCTCCAAGGATCCCTAGTACTCCTTAGCAACCTTGCTGGGAGGACTGAAATCACAGCCTCCAGGCAGCAGGTGATAAGTGTCCCTGTATACTTGAAAGAGCTGCTGGCTACAGTAAGCACATGTACATCTCCAGAAAAAATATTTAACAGCAAGTCATCAAACTAGGATATAGATAAAAATATTAAGACTGAACACAGCAAGAGGAATTGTGGCAAGCAGACTCCTGCAGTGGCCTTATATCAAGGCACAGAGTGCACAGCCTTAGATGATGCTTTTCAAGAAAATTTGACAACAGTATTGGCTTCCTATAAACCTAGCCTGGACTGAGAAGCACCAGAAAGGTGTGAAATGGCAGTCTGAGGGACTGTAATCTAATTGCTAGAACTGTTGACCACTAGAAGCCCTTATGCATGTCAGGCTATATTATGGGGTGTATTATCTATACTGAACTACTGCATTTTTTCCTGGCACTGCTACATTTTTTCAGCAGATAAACTTTGTCTAGTGGAGTTTGCAATTGTTCCACTAGGAACAAATTTGGGACTGAAATGTCACAAGGCAGCAAAACCATAAATATTTTGCTTTTCCCTTTCACTTTTAAGGCAAGACACTGAGTTCTGATGCTTCTCATTGTCTGCCATGCAGTTATGGAGGTAGAAGTGTCCAGGCCCTTATTATGCACAGCTGACCTTTTATTTCCTGCAAGTGCATTCAATTTCAGGTAGTCCACAGTGTAGTCTTGAAATGCTATTTTCCATCATGCTAAACTAATCTGAGGTTTACATTTTTACACATTTTATGAACTCAAGAGTTTGCTTTCCAGTGTTGCATGAAAAACAGAGGTCAATCAGAAGGTCATTCATATAAGTCAGCAAAACAACTGTTGTGACACTGTTGAAAGAAGAGAAGGACAACCACTTATAAACATTGGGCAAGCCACTGTAATCAACATATCTAAGAAATTTCACTCTTTTTTTTTTTTTTTGACTGCTGTTTCTAAAAAAAAAACACCCTAGAATTCCAGTCCACATATTATTATGATAATACTGATTTAAATGTTATATTGAGGAAAGTTTAAACTTGATCAACACTCATTTAAAACTTCATTTTATTTATACATCTCCTGCAAGAGAAGCCTGTCTCCATTTTCTTTTCTACTTGTATTCAAGATTGCTGATGAGCTGTATTTTCTCTTTCCACTGTTTTCACATAATTTACTTAATGGTACAGGTAGCTTCAGTTTTTACTCAGCATTTCATTTATATAATTCTCAAACTTCTTCCAGTCAATGCTTAGCCTTTGAGGTTTGATACCCTGATATTACATGATGTATAGTGTTTTCAATCTCAAATAATCTGATATTTAGATTCCATATTACTTAAAATGTCAGTTCTTGTCCACCTACTCAATAACTATGTCCTCAGTCACAGTGTCCTCATCTCATGTACTATTTCCCTTTTTCCCCTTGTTCACAGCCAGGAAGATTCCCATCTTGAACGTGCTGCTTGCTGCATACATGTCACAGCACAATTTTGCTTTGGCCCAGGATCTCGTTTGTTTCCTAAATCGCTCAGCAATGAACAACGACTGCTCCTTGGGACCTCATCATGGGAGGTCAGCCTTCTCTCATCATCGGGAAGTTCCTTTGAATTTTAAACTTTGCAGAAACCCGTGTCTATTCACGCAGCCTCTACATTCGGATGTTATTGATTACAGTCACCACGAGCATTGCTCAGGCTAATGACGCGCTAATGACCTTCCCATCCACTCTGACATTCGTATCTCAGGAGGTGAAGACGGTTTATTCTTGCCTAACCTTGGCTGCCCGAGATAAGCAAACGTTTATCACCTCTACCAGCTTAGCCTTCTGACTCGGAAAGCTACAGACTCATTTTAGCTAAAACCTTTCCGTACACTTACTCCTAAAAACAAGCAGTAATTTTCGTGTTTACTCTACAACACCAATCCTCTACATGTTTTGTTTTTTTAAACACAGTAGCGCATTTTAAGGCTATTACCCTATTCATCATTACTTTACAAAGCTGAAGAAACGAAACTCTGTAACCCCCAAATTTCCAGGGAGTCATATTTTTTTTATAACAACAACAACAACAACAGCGAAATTGTTAGTATTACTATGAAGGGGTAACCGTGAGGACGAGGAGCAGCGCTGTCCCCGGCGGAGAGGGGCGAGCCGAGCCCACCGGTTGCCACCCGGGGCGCGGAGCCCGCCCGTGCCTCGCCTCCCGCCGGCGGCGGCAGACGGGATCCGGGGGACAGCCGCCCCGTCCCGGTGCCCGCGGCCGCGCCGGGCAGAAGTCGGGAAGGGGCACCCGGGGCGCACCCGCGGCAGCCCTCCCACAGCCCTCCCCGCTGTCCCTCGGCTGCCACAGCCGCGAGCGCACGGAAGGACGGACGGACGGACGGACGGGCGGGCGGACGGACGTCGCCCCCTTTCCCCGCGGGCGCCGCTGGACCCGCTGGGAGCCCCTGCCCCTCCTGCAGCCGTGCCCCGGCGGCAGCATCGCCCGGCCGGGGGCGGGCCGGGCATCCCCTGGCTCCGTACCTGTCGGGGTGTCCTCGGGAGCGGCAGGCGCTTCCCCCCGCAGCCCCGGCGCGGCAGCGGGCGGCCGGCTTTGTTACTACTCGGAAGAGCCGCGGCTCAGCGCCGTCGCTATAGAAACTGGCTGCGCCTCGAAGAGACACCGGCGAGTGGCGGGAGGGAGGCGGGAGCCGGGCGGAGGTGTGGGGTGAGGAGCGAGCCGTTCATTCAGGAATATCCTGGCCTTTTCCTCCTCCTCCGCCCGCAGCCGGCCCCCGGCACCGCCCAGCCCGGCCGGAGGTTGGGAGATCGCCTCGCCGCCCTCGCCTCGGCTGCATCCTCGGACTAGGATGTGGTCTCTCCGCTCAGAGCATCCCCGTCCCAGCCCTGCCGCCTCCTCAGGGAGACTTGTCCCCAAAACACACGCAGAGGTACACTCTCACTCCGAAAAGGGATCCCAGGGCAGCAGGGACCCAGGGAGCACCCATGACATGAAATAACCATGGGAGCTGACCTGATCTCTCGCTGCTGCCCTACTGCCTTTGCAGCTTGTTTGGTCCCAGAACATCACCACAAAAACCCCAAAAAGCCGGGACCAAATTTTTAACAACAGTTTTTCATTTCGTGAAAGTGGTTTAGCTCCATATCCTCAGGGGATGAACTGCTTTTGTGTGGGAACTTGCTGCTGGGATCCCTCTGGACAGTGGCTCAGGATCCAAAGGTGCCACGGGGTTTTTCTGCAGAGCATTTGGTATTATGCAGCAGACCCTAAGGGTAGAGGAGCTGAAGCATTTGTCCTGTGTGCTGTAAACAGGAAGGGAAGCATGGGTGATTGGAAGGAAGAGGTGGGAAAGGCTGAAAATGGATTAGGGTAAAGCAGCCAGGTATGCGGGGGATATCGTTGTTCCTGACCTGTTTGAGATTTAGGGTTATCCTGAGTCTGGGGAGTGGCATGTTTTCCTACAGCAACAGCCTATGGAGTGTCAGGGACACCCATCTTCACATCCTTCTCCCTGCTTGACATGACTGAGGCATTTCCTCCATTCTTCCTTTCCTCCTCCTGCACTGAAGGCTCAGCAGTATCGGCTTGTTGGATCTATCCTCTTCTAATTTCTCTGCCTGAAACATTCTTATTCTCTCAATAGTAGTAAAGTTGATAAAACATCCATCAAAGTGCAAGACGGATCTCCCCTTTTCTCTTTCCCTGGTTTATATTGATTAAATTGGACTTTTCGAGTTTGCCACACAGAAGAAACCTAACATGCAAGGAGCAACTCGGAGGCTGCATTATCCATCTCGGCTACTGCCAAGCTACAGGGGATGACTATTAAGTATCCGCACTGCAAGTCACTGTGAGCTGATGAATCTGTGCCAAGAGCTGCTGGCACACTGCAGAAAATACTCTTTATGAAGAGTTTGCCAAAGACAAGAAAGACCCCCACAGCAGCTCTTCACAAAGCAGCCCAGCTTACAGCAGAGCTGCTGGCAGGCCATCACACAGCCAAGTGACCATGGTGGCACAAATGAGGAAGAGAGAAGGTTGAGTATGAAAGACAGGAGCTCACCACACAGTTATCTACCTAATTTGCATGCTAAATACCAATTCAAGAGTTAAAAAAAGAGGAGCAGAAGTAATATAAATACAGTCACCGCACAACAGAGCTTATTTTTTTGATTGTTTCTTCTACCTTACAGCGAATTTGCTTGCTTTGAGGAGGAAAGAGTAACATTACAGAAGTGAAAGATCTGCAGCATCCTGGATCTCATAGCATAGGAGAAATTCTGCCTATTTTATCTGATGTAAAAGGATGCTGACATATTTTTAATCAAATGGAATGTCAATATTCATAATAGATATAATTTTAAGAACCTCAAAACCCAAAAACCCTCTAAAAACTGGAAAGCATTCCATAATCTAAAATCTTCTGGAAGTGTGTAGAATGCTTTTTAACTTAAGATGCATTTAGAAAAGAAAGATGAGCAATGAAAACATTGCTTAAAGAAATGGTCCTTATTTTGACAGTAAGAAAGCAAAGCTGTTGCTATAATGCCTATTAATTTTTCTTGCAAAATAAATTCATAGCACTTTTTATCCGGTTGAAATGCAGGAAGGGACAGAAAAATTATAGGAAAGGCATGCTTACTATCTGGTCTTCACTAATACCAAGCACCTGAGTACTGATACCCTTTTATGTGTTCCTGAGACTTTTAATCATCAGTGCAGTTTTACACACAGGCTTTTAAACACTTTCCTCTCCAGGCTGAAGATAAAGAATAGAATTTCCAGAAGGGGCAGTTGAGACAATTGGGTGATATTTTAAAGGATTTACAGGAAAACTCAATTGGGCATGCCTTAGAATTGTGCAGATATCCATGCCTTCTAGATTACTTTTCCTATTGAGGTTGCAATGATATTTTACTCAAAGAGATGAGCCATTTTTGTAGATAGATACCACCTGTATCTTTAGGACAAAGCTTTAGCCAGGTCATTGTTCTAGGGCTTGTAAAGTGTTTTGCTGTGTGGGGTGGTGGTTGTTTTTTTTTTTTTTTTTTTATAACTCTGCTTGAATTTTCAACTGGCTAAATGTCATTTGGAACCTAACTTTTGCAATAGCATTTACAGAGTAGGGCACTAACTGCAACCGTGCCAAGTTGTTGCTTGGCAGTCACAATAATTCTACACTTACAGAGAGGGGAATGAAACATACAAATATTAAACCTTGCATTGCATTTAGTAATAAATCAGTACTAAATCAGCAATTTCAGTTTGTAACATTTCAACGCTAAGCTATCTTGCCTTTGCATTTTGATATTTTGTCCCTATATCTCCCCTTTTGGCTTAAGGACAATATGTTTAAAATCTACATCTGGAATACCTTCTGGCAGCAATTTTTAAGAAGCATCAACTTTGGGGTAGGGTGATAAACCTCCCAAAAAGAAACACTGAAAAGAATGTGTGCTGATATGACCATGGCCATCTTCTGACTCAGCAGCGACGTGTGCATCTTTCTCAGTGCAGCGGATTTTTCCCAGTAACTCGGTGTACTGAAGGAATTCATTGTGGGACACTGAACAAGTGGTAATACTCATGTGGAGCAGAGCAGCTTTTGAAGGTGCTCCCTCTCTTTCACTATTTGTCCTCACTCTGAACACCATTCATCCCACCAAACACTTATTCTGTGGGCCTATTTGTTCCCTGGAAGCAGAGCAAAGTATCCTTAACCAGCACCAAAACCTTGCATAAAGAATTCTTCAGCTGAAGGAATGAAACACATTTTTATCACATCATATGTAAACAAAAGATAGGAGTAATCTGTGATAAAACTGAAGTAACAACATTTCATACCAATACTGATTATCATTACTATTATTATTAGGATTGTGTTGCAGCCTCTAGGCTGCACCAACACCAGGCACTGTTTTCCCACAGAACAAAAATGTGAGTAATTTCTGCCCTGAGGAGTTTACCTCAGAATTAAATGTTTTTCCTGAGGGCCTGAAATGCCATTAGTTACACATTTGGGTAGTGGCAAGTGCAGTGGGACCTAATTTAATTGCAGCCTTTTAGATATGTGTAATATAAATTTTAAATAATGTAATAATTGTAATAATTGTTCTGACAGGAGACAGTGCAAAACCATTTTTCTGTGTCTATAGGCTAGTAGTCCTTTTGGAAATTAGAGACTTTGGAACATGGAAAATGAACTGAAGTGATAATTGAAGGAAGCAATAAAACATGAATATGCTAAAATAGGGGATGAACTTGTAGACTCTGTCTTTTGTAAAAGGAAAATATGCTTTCTCCAGACTTTTTTTTTTTTTTTTTTTTTTTTTTTTTTTTTTTTTTTTTTTTTTTACCTTGGGAAGAAATGCATATTTTAAACCATTGCTTGAGATTTCTGGATGTCCTGAGGAGACAAGGCTATAGCAGTACAGAAGGACTGGTGTGCCAAAAGGACACAGGTCTTTCCCAGCTCTGCTGGCTGCTTCTCAGAGGCAGCTCCAGATGGGCAGAGCCACTGCGGCAGCAGCAGTGCCTCAAAGTGGCTTTCAGGGATGAGGAACAAAAAATTTTTTGATGTGAGGAGGGCTTGAGAGGGAGCACTGGAGTTACCATGTCCATGGTATCTGGGGCATGCTCAGATCTACAATATTCCTATATATGTGTGTATATATATATATATATATATATATATATATATTGCACAGATGCTGGTGTAAGGAAAATCAAGTATGTATATATATATCCAGACTTGCAGCTGACCATTTAGCAAAATAATTATCCGAGGTTTGTGAAGGCTTCTACCCAAATTTGTGGTGGGAAAGTACTGTTGAGCATTCAAAACTGTCAGAAAGCAAACATGACTGTGATGGGGTTGACTTCCAACAAGGCGAGGCTCATGCCCACCCTTCACCATGCATCACTGTGCTGAGATACCACAGCCACTGAAAACAAAGCAGGGAAGGAGCCTGCTGAGAAACAGACAATCCCTGGGTTGGGCCATTACAGACATGCCCCAATGTGTTTGTATTCCCTGTGTGGGGCAGTGTAGATGCATCCCAAATCTAAACTCCTAGAGGCCTTCTGTGACTACATGCCATCTCGAGGGAACATCTGAATTAAAAGGGCTACTTAATATTATTGATCCAGAAAGGGGGAGAACCATGTGGCAACAGGATTCACATTGTTATTTAATTTTGCTTACTGTTGAAAGGCCTCAGAGACAGTAAAGGGAAGCCTAACCTAAGGAGCTGAATAAACACCCTAGCAGACAAAGGGATTAATGCTGGGTTAGCGTGACACTGGATGGTGTATTTTGGGTCTCTCATATAACCTACTGGGGCCATAATCAGGAACAACTGCTCAGAAAAAAAAATCCTGGCATTACTGTGGAAAGCTCAGTGGGCATCACTGTTGAACAAAATGCTAGTGGGAAATTAAAAATCAGTCTGGAAATATTGTAATTCCCAAAGGTTGGTTATTTGATACGGCATGAGTACTTTGTTCAGTTCTGGGAATTCAGCTGCAAAATAGATACAGAAGACACAGAGAACATGTGGAGACAGGCAATGCAAATGATTAGAGACTGAGAGAAAATTTTGTATCTGGGTGGCATGAAGAAAGGACATGATAGAGCTTTATAGAAAATAATGAATGGCACAAAGAAGATAAATCCTACATTTCTAGGCACCTCTTTTTTTCATAATTTAAGAACAAGAGTTCATCCAGTGAAATTAAAAAGA